GTTTCATCGCACACGATTTTGCATTGTACGTTATATCGCATCTCTCTGTCTCTTAATTAGAAATTGCACTTCGCAGTTGCTTGCGAAACGCGAAACGCGAACCGCGCGACGTAGATTACAGAGAATTTGATTCTCTTAAGCAAGAAAATGTTACGCTACCAATCTCCCGTATAACGCCATTTTCTCGGCGTTGTTCAAAAAGGCTGCGGTTAAACGGAGACTCGTTTCTTCTGTTCGTTATTATTACAACTTGCATGCGAACTGTTTGGAAAAAATTTTCCTTCGTCGACTAAAAGCGTACGCGTCGAAAAAGAAACCAACAATGCTATCGGACTTCGTTAATTTATACGTTCGATGACATTTGAAGAATCTGCGACTCGCAGTTTAATTATATAATATACAAGTTTATTTATTCCTCGTTCTTCGTTTCACTCTTGAATCTTAATTGATACAAAAGTTGTGCTCGAAACGTAAAAATGTTGTGCCCTGGTAATAAATTTGCATTTTTTCAATTACGCATTCGTCGCGAGTAATTACGAAAAACGCAACGAGACGATAAGGCGGACCGTTCGAATAAATGATCAGCTAACGAACGAGTTATTCGAATATTTCGGATGAATTGCTAATTTATTCGTGGTATCGGACGATATTGTACGTCACCCGTGGATGCAAGCCAACTCTAGAGCCATCCAAAGGCGCGTAGGAGACATAAATCTCTCGCAGAGAATTATGCGTTATTTCAGTTACGAAGGATAGCTCTGTAAGTGCCCACGAAATTGTCCGGCTCGGCGGAATATTATGTCGCGGTTGAAATCTTATCCGGATAAATTTTTGTCGAGAAATATTTCGATTCCATCGGATAGCGCAGATCCGACAGGGTCGAATAAAATTTTGTCAAGGGCAAAGAAGCGCCGATCCACGCGAAAAGAAATCGTAGTGCAAGGGGTTGAACCGTTGAGAAAGCAACGTAACGAGAAATCGCGTTGGCCGGCCGATTTCAGTTATAGATGTCTCTCGCTCCCATTTTTATGATATCCGTAAATGTTACGTTATAAAATTATTATTATTATGTTATTTTTTATTATCCGTGAGTGTTAGCAACTGGACAAATTGACTGCAGCGGTCAAGGAAAAGCGAGCAGAATTGCTCGATCGTGAAGGTGTCATTTTCCAGCAGGACAATGCTAGGCCGCACGCGTCTTTGTCCACTCGGCAAAAATTCATGGATATTGCTTGGGAATCGATGTTACACCCGCCATATAGCCCTGATCTCGCGCCATCGGATCACCGCTTATTTCGATCCCTGGACAACTCCCTTCGTGGTAAAACTTTTAATGACGACGACGCTGTAAAATCTCGCTTAACTCAGTTTTCGGCCGAAAAGGATCAGACTTTCTACGAGCGTGGAATTTTCAAGTTGTCAGAGGGACGGCAAAAGGTCATCGAACAAAATGGAAAATACATTACAGATTAAACTTCGTTCCAAGTAAAAAAGAATTTTTTATTTCATTGAACAAATCGGCGATTACTTAGTTGCCAACCCGAGAAATAGAAATTAACGTCTACCGATGAGTGGGAATCGTTTCGAGATACCACGTGCGCCGGAGAAGCCGTATGCACGCCACTCGATAATTTATACGAAAAAGGGTCGATAATTAATTCGAGGCGGTGCAATTACTCTCGGCGCGCACAGGCTGTTGTAAGATCGATCCTCGGCCGAGCGGATGAAAGACGCGCGAGGAGAAAGCACGTACCAGAAGGAGCGAGCGGTTGCATGTTGTTCCAGTGCGCGAGATAAATTTAGATAAACTAGAGAAAAAGCATGCTGTTGTACCAGGAAGACCGACCGACTACGTTTGACGCGGCAAATATTATTATCCTGCCGTGTACCGCCAGTGTGTTTCGTTCGACGAAGAAAATTCAGAGATTCGAGGGTCAGATCTCATGATTTTTCTGTAGTAAAATGAAACGTAGTTCTCTCTTTTCACCTCAATTATTCTTGTTCTCTATTTAATAGACTTCCGAATGGCACAATTAAATGTTGCACGTTATAATTGACAAACTCAAGCAGACCCTCGTGTTTCGATTGAAAAAGGAAAGTAACAAAGAATTAATAATTGCCGTTTATGATTTGGCTTTTTATGCGAAACAGCTTTCGTTCGAAACGTTCTTTCATACGACCCGTTAGATTACAAGAAAAATGAAGATAAAAGGGTTAAACGACATAACCGAATATAATACGTAAATACAAGTTTTCCACGCATTTTCTTTCATGGTGTCGATTGAATTATTTCAGGAAAATGTTACTGCGCCGATCATAATAATATTTTTAGACGTTAAATATTGAACATAAAGGAATACGTTCGACTTGATAAATGTGTAGCACCTACGCTTGCCCACGCAGAAGGCTGAAACGAGCGCGAATTCTCAGGCCGCGACCGGATCTTCGCTTCGAAACGATTGAACGTTGCTCTTTGTTCGCGACAAACGAGCATCGAAAGGTTACGTTTAATTATGACATTTCAACGGGCACATTATGCGCGCAGGAAGCGTTCAAGCTTTGAACTGAAACTTTCGTCGATCTTTCATAACGTTTCCAAGTACTTCCTGCTTGCTCGAATTTACAGAAAATGCGCGATTGTCCGATAAAATAAAAAAAGAAAAGTTAAATTTACGCTGACATTTCTTGTGTATATCTTAGTAATTTTACTATATTTTGATTCGATTTCTTGTGGCATTTCAAGAGAAAACTTCAGGGAAACACGCATGTCTGACAAAGTTGCGCTGAAATAACACAATTCCCCGTAATCGCTAATAAACTTTAATGTCCCACGAGAGGGGACAGCGGAGTGCGAAGGGTAAAATGTATTCCGCGTTGAAAAGAGTCCGAACATTTTCGTGACCGAGCGTACACAGTTTTTGACGGTTCTAAATATAATTCGAACGACTTCCAGGGCGCCTAAACGGCAGCCTATTTCACCGATATCGTCGGTCTATCCACGGAAGCGTTCGTATTGTTCGCGGAGCGAGCGCCGCGATAGATTTCGACCGCGGTCGCCGATCGAGCCCCTAATAAATTAGAGCCCAAGCACCGTTGAACACGGTGGAAACCGTGCAATTTCGAACGGCGCGATGATCGGGAACCGTTGAAAAGCACGAAACGTAATGGCGCGATTTCGCAGGTAGGCCGAAGGCCGTAATCATCGGCGATCGCTCTTTGAACGTCGGGGCAAACGATTCGACCGGGCGATCGCGAACAGGGGCAAGAGCGTGCTCGAGAATCTATTTCTGCGGCGATTCGCATCGAAAAACATTGACTCACACTGGTCGTCCGGGGATGTCTTTGAACTCGTTCGCTAAATAAAGAGAGTTTCGGTGGGCGGCCGAAGGGAGCACGATGCCCGAAGAAACGAAGGGAGAAACGGTGGCCCCGCGTCAAATAATCGCGCGACCCGCGAATAATAAATCAAACCGAGTCGGGTCGGGTCGAGTAGAGTCGAGTCGGGTCGAGTCGCGTCGCAGGCGGAATGAGCGAAAAACGAGAGAGAGAAAGAGAGAGAGAGAGAGAGAGAGAGAGAGAGAGAAAGCCCCGGTGGAAAAAAGAAGCCGGCGAGGAAGGAAGAGAAAGTATCTCTTCGGAGTCGCATCCCGTGCTCCCGTAGCCTCCGCTCGCCGCCACGTGCTTCGCGAATACTCGACCTCGGCTCTCACCGTGTCCTCTCTTCCCTCGTCTCCATTTTCTTCTATTTTCCTCGTCCACCGTTTTCTTTCGTTTGTTAGCTCTCCGCTCGAGGATCAAAGAACGGTTTTCCCTCTTTTTCAGGTTTACTTATCCTACCTCTATCGGACTCTCCCTCTGCTACACCTTTCCTAATCGAGGATGACATTTCCGCGTACCAGATCGAAAGGATATCTTTGAATCTTTCAATCACGGTGGTGCGCTCTCTGTGCCTTTGAGAAATATTAGTTCAGCGGTGATTGACGCTAGGAACGGCGGAACTCGGGCTCTGTTTCGACCTCGAGTATAAACGTTGTTACTTCGTATGCAAAAAAGTTGAGCTATCGCATGGCGAGTTATCGCGGTACTCGATATAAATGCTGCAATTTGCTTTAAGAATAGCCATTCGACATTGAGAGAGTTCGTAAGTGTTAGTTTTACGTATACATGTATATTTTTAACGCTAAACCTACCGCGGTCAAAGCGACCGCTTTCTTATTTTGCAATTCTGAAAAGTTACGAGACTCTTTCGTGGAAAACGCTTGAATAAGTTATATTATTGGAGCAAGTTCTATATAAATATATAAATATATTTTGTATCGGATCCAATCATTTTGTTTACAGTACATCAAATTCTGTACCTAATCGATGCGTTCGTTATCCTGTATACAAATTACTCGTACAAGCAAGAAAATTGGCAAGATTTTGCATACTCACGCCACGACATATCGCAATCCATGCCTCGCGTTAATCCTTCGTAGCAACGTTTCACTGTACAAAAATTCAGGATAGATCGTCTTCACTGGTTTTAGTACACGTTCTCCTAATTCCACGCAGTTACAATTTCCGTAAAACGTTTAATCTTGTATCGTCGATTGCACAGTTTTTTACGCTGTACCACTTTAATTTAACAAAAAAATACCCGCTCATTTCCATCGATCACTGTTCCACCTAATCTCGATTTACCTTGGTCGCGCCACACGTTCGCGTTATTCTCGCAAAAACTGTCGAACGGAACAAAAAAAACAACTCGGTACATAAATCAAAACGGTAATTAAGAATAATTCGAACGAAACGATAACACGGAAGCGGCGAGACGCGATGCTCTCGGCCACGAGGAAACTATCGGATTTCATCGACGAAGCTCGAATCGTTTCGGAATCTTAATGAACGCTAATGGCTCGCGGGCAATGAAACTGCGCGCGGCAGAAGTGCGTGCGCAAACGACACTTAAAACTGTACTCGTTTGAAATCTAGAAATATGACACGCCGCGCCGCGCCGCACGCGGCGCATTAATTCGCGCATTAACGTATCGTCGCGGACGCGGGACGATGACGAGTGTGCCGCGCCGCCGAACACGAAACTGTGAATTTCGGGGAGAACGCGTGGTATCGGAACAAAGGTGAACATTTAATAGTAAATTGTATTCGAATTGTGCAGAAATCGGGGCAATCCGCGTCGCGGCAAAGTGTGTATTCGAAAGGTGTCGTGTCGGGGGACCGGTTCACCCACGGAATAGAGACGGGGCTCCGTTTACGACAGAATTTCGCAAAACGAGATTTTTGTCCCTCTCGTTGCGATAATACGCTGGCGGGACACGTTAGCTTCGCGGTTGCTTCGTTCGACGAAAATAATATTGAATTGTGTCGTGGCACACAGCGATCCGTCGTCAAATTCAATTTCTTAGCTTTTCATGCATCGAAAAAGTTTATTACGAGTTTATTATATATATAATATATTTATATATTATATTATATTATTATAATTATATATTATTATATATTATATTATTATACAAAGCTTCGATAATATAAATATTATCTTGGAACGTGATGTAACAATTTCAGTGGTGCCCCAGCGTCACCACTCGAGCGCAAAGGGTTAAAATATAAAAAGCTTGCAAAAGAAAATTTGTTTTTCCAAGAAACGCCGGTACCGCGATTTTTTAAATGTTAGTACATATCTTTGACTCGATAATATCGTAGTTAACGAGCTAATCGTAGTTTAACGAGCTACCGTACCATAATCTGAAACAACGTTCAAATAATTTTGGTTTCAGGAAGCGAATTCCCAGGCTCACTGTGCGCGGCGCAGCTTCCACCAGCGTTTCTCGCGCTGTAAAAGGAAACTTCTGTTCTCGTGGAAACGAACGCCAGGTGCGTAGGAATCAAGGGTCGTGGGATCGGCGGACCCTAAAAATTATTAGAGAGGTCCCCCTCCCGCTATAATTCGCCCCTCCTAATACCGGCTAAGCTGCTTCGACGTCGAATTCGAACGTCGATAAATTTACTCTCTTGCAAACTGCTTCGCGTTCCGTTCTACCATTCATTGGTCGAATACGTATAGTGGCGGTCATAAATTTCGGACAATGAATTGTAATTTTCGTGATACGCGTATTTCGTAACTGTTACTTATTTATTTGTTTCTTCTTTATTTATTTAGCTTTTCGCATATTCACTGATTAGCGTTTCGCTTTCCTAATCTCGAACGTAGCGCAGCGAAATTTAGTAAAACGACTGCTTCTGGAAAATATCCGATGACAGAATTTTGTAGGCACTGTTAAGGTCTCGCAATCGTCTTCAATAGCACAGCTATTAATTTAGTACTACAATATTATATATATATATTTAGTACTGCAGTAACTGCAATATCAAGTTCAGTAATTCGTATCATATTGATTTGCTCGTGCACACGAATATGACCTTCGAAAAGATGAATTCGCGGTGCAAAACCTGTACACGTGTTTGGAAAAGTCGACAAAATTGTACACCGCGCTATCTTTCGCGGATTAATTTAGCGACGCGAAAATTCGATGTTGTCGAGTAGCCAACGACCATAGCGGAGTTTTTCGCTCGTACATCGACACCATCGATCTCGAGAATCGAAGGATGCGCGCGATATAGCATGTGCTCTGATCGAATCGCGTGCTCGCGTCGCGTCGGAGGTACGATCGCAGAAGGTGTCGAGGTGCGACCAGCAGTCGAGGTCTAACCGGTCTTCGGGGCCCCGTGGCGATGGGCAGCCGGGACACGAAGCGCGGATCTGGTTTTGAATTTTTCTTTTCTCAATATAGATCGTCGCCGAACGCGTCTTATTCGTCGGCACTCTGTATAATTATACGCGCTACGCGATTCCTACTTTTCTGCTATATTACGCTCGTTCTACCGCGCCGCGTTGCTTCGTCAAAATTACAGCGAGATTATTCCGCGCATTTTTTCAGACCACCTGCGCCTAGTTTTACGCTTCGCTACCGTCGCGAGAATTTTAATTGTTCGAAATTATCTTGTCGCGACATTCGGTAACGGATAAAATTATAATATACGGAACGATCGAGTCTTTTAGTACAACACTTAGGGTGTTGTGCTAAGTGTTAGTATAAGATATAATTATAGAAGCACGTACGATTGCGGTAACATTTAAACAACGAATGACGGGAACAGAAGATACGAATAATATAAAAAAATATAGAAAAAAGATGTCTGCTACGAATCTTTCCGTCGAGAAGATTTTAAATAATGACTTTAAAGTCGGATACACGTGTATGTATACGTATGCAGGTTCCAGAGCTCTCAGTTTTAATCGCTATTTTTATATTTATTAAATATCTACGATAGCAGTGAATTATCGACTTCCCGTTATTCTCATTGTCCTTTAAGGATATCATTGAACTAATCGGCAATTACTTAGTTGCCAATAATATACGAGCGGTGTATAAAGCGCTAACTATCCTAAGCGTACGCGTCCTAAGCGTTTATCAAGCGTAAGTTGTAAAAAAAAGGTAGGGCGTCCGAGGTTTCGGTCGAGCGGAGCTCTTGGTTCCAGCTGTTTCTCGAACGAGATTCGACCACAGGGTATAACAGAACCGTTAACAGGCCCGGCTCGGCGTATCTCGACAAAGCGATTTAATTGCAACCGCATTTGCTATGCGCGAACGGTGCCAATTCACCGGGAAGAATATCGCGGAATAAAGTGCACACGGGCTAAGGTCAAAGATCCCCCCCGATCGAAATAACCGGTTTGCTCAAGAATCGCGCGAAGCGGCCGCAAAACGGTCGATCCTGAAATTGAATCATGCCCGTGCATGTGCATGTGCATGTGCATGTGCAACGATACCTGTGCGCTTCCGGCGAATTCGGCAGGCTGCGCGCCTTTCTACTCGCCCCGCCGCTGCTTCCGCTGTTTCCCATTTTGTAGCAATTTCGCCGCTGACTCCGACAGCAGCCCTCTCTCGTTCCCCCCCGCGCGACCCGAAAATAGTCGCAACCTCTCCCGTGCACCGACACTTCCGACGGTCAAATGTGTCCCGGTGAATCAACCGGTCGGCGCGATGCGCTCGCGCGCGTAAATAAACAAATATCCGAGGAGACTCGTCAACGTTTTGGCCCCGTCGCCGAACGATGGACTCTCGGCGCTGCTCCTCCCGTTGCTCTCATCGGGAAAAATCTCTGGCCGCGATCGACGGAGAGCGCTCGACGCGAAGCTATAGGGCCTAAAAAAGACCCGGCGCCCCCGACTCGCTCTCGTTGTCTCCCCTCGAAGGTACTCTCTCGTGATATGGATACGTTCCTAGCGCGGCACTTTTGGAGTAGAAAAATTCCCACTCCCGAGTAGAAAAATTACATCTATGTACAGGCACTATATCCTCGGAACCGCTACACACTCGACGAATTACGACGACGCGATCCGTCCATCCGCAGCTTCACCGTCGAACAGCATAGAAACCGCGTGAAACAGCGTTCTTCCCTTGTCTCGCGATCGCGATCGCGTTCCCATATTATCATCGCCGAAACGAGGAAACGTTCCAGGAAGCTTCCGCGAACTGTTCTCAAACGGCCCGGGTCCTGCGTGCTCGATCGTTGCTTCCCGCGAATCGATCGCCGAGATCGAAGCTGCGTCGTCGTCCCGATCGCAGCGTGGAAATCGCGGCCGAATGGTCGCGCGTCTCCGCGCAGGATCCTCGGCAAGATTCTCGGCACGGCTCCCGGATCGTTTTCAAAGAGAGCATATTCGTCCCCGACAGGGCCCGGCGCTCTTTGTTTTCGGGGGGCCAGACTCACGAATCCGCGCGCTCCACGGGCAAAAGCAGGACCGGCGGGCCCGGCCGGTCTTCGTCGAACAAAACCTTCTCACAACACTGCACGTCCGCCGACGCGACGATGCCTTATGGCAAGCAATTCCACGGTCATTGTGTGGCCATGGTGTGTAGGCATCGTTGATGGCCCGTTTCGAACTGAGGCCTGCCGAGAGAGATCCATTCCCGTTCCCATAGCCATAGCACGTGGCTTCTCTTTCGCTCTCTCCCTCTCTCACCCTCGCCCCCACCATTCGCACGCCCAATCTCTTCCCATCCCTTTCTCCCTTGCTCCTTGTCACCCTACGCGCTCCCTCTTCCTCACGCTCTCTCTCTCTCTCTCTTTCTCTCTCCGTTATCCTCGTCCCCCCTCTCTCTCTCTTTCTTTCTCTCTCTCCTCGACGTCCATGCAGATGCGGTGTACCTTCGTTCCCTTCGCCAGGCTCTCCCGTGCGTTTCATTTCTTCTTCGCAATATTCGTCCGTCTATCCGTCCTCCTCTTTCTCCGATCGCAATTCCATCTCGCTTTCACCTGTATCCCCTAACCGTCGAACCCCCTGGCCCGCCGCTCCCCCCTTCGCGCTCCGTTCACGGTCACCCCCATGGACTCTTCCTCGTTCCTCGCTCCGAAATCTCCCAATAGCGTTCACTACCGTTCTCGTCCTTTCTCCTTTCATCCCTGCGCTACAGGACTCTCCCGACCGCTGTTGTCCCGCGGCCCGCCCCACCACCACCGACTCTCCGTCCTTGTCCCCCACTCTGTACCCTCTGTGGCCCCCCCCCCGCCGTAGCCGTCCGCGCCAACCGCGACGCTCGCCTTCCCCGGGAGCCGGCCAATCGGCCGCGCCCGTTCCGCCGGCGTGGATTTTTAAATCATTTTTATGGCAACGCGTGCATTCCGCGTGCACGTGCACGCGCGCCGCATTGTGCCCCGGGATGCAACAATACGCGGCGCGCGCGCGTCGCGGCACCGCACGGGTTTTCTACGGCCGGAGATGAGAGCACGGCGTGTGTTGTCTCCTACGTTTCCACCTAAACGCGTGTAGATATTCTCTAGCAACTGTCGGCGAACGGCTCTCTATGGGGTAATTGGGAAAGGTACGATTGACCGGTAGTTGGAGGAGACGGTAACGAGTTCCACCGGCTGCGCCTAACCGCCGAACGATCTTCTTACCGTCTTCGTGGTTTTACGAGTACGCTCGACGCGCCGACTGTCGCGTGAATTTTACGCGTTGTCTCGTAGTAGGTGCGTTGTGTCGTTTTGATCGTCGAGGAGACAATTACAATTACAATTGTCTTCTTATGATTCAGATTTTGGAGTTTCCGGTTTCAATGGTTAACGTTCGGACGGGCCTGGGAGTTTTGTTGGTATATACAACGATACTCTCACACACGCACGTGCATACATAGGGACAATAAATAAAGGTACAAGCCCGAGCTTTATAAATGCAGGTACAGCATTCGGCAGGTACAGCTTCTCGAGGAAACGGGTATACATTTAGGACACTCATTTACCTGGAATTTACTTGAAGGAATAGTATAAAAGGACTGCACGTTCCAGTGCGAGATACTACTTCCCATAGAACTACAGAGGCGTTCGTCAGCCTAGAAGACGATTAGTCGGACNGTCTACATAGGGGCAATAAATAAAGGTACAAGCCCGAGCTTCATAAATGTAGGTACAAGCCCGGTCTTCTCGGGGAAACGCGGGTATACATTTAGGACTCTCATTTACCTGGAATTTACTTGAAGGAATAGTATAAAAGGACTGCACGTTCCAGTGCGAGATACTACTTCCCATAGAACTACAGAGGCGTTCGTCAGCCTAGAAGACGATTAGTCGGACAGTATCTCCGCGACTTCACATACAGTTACTCTTCTTCAAAGTACATTTTATATCCGCATTATTATATATATTTATCATATATATAATATATATTATTAATTATATATTATATATTATATTATATATATATTATATAAATATACATAAGTATAAATAATAATATATATAATATAAGTATATTATATAAATATCTTATTATATTATATATAGCTCTATATATAATATGTATAAATATCTGTCTGTTTACGTGGCCGAACCTGTATAACGATAATGGAAATAACAGGGTATTGTTTAATGCAAAGCGTTGCGACATTTCTTATCGTCTATAAGTGGACAAAACGCGAACGATCCGACCCGTATCATTGGACCTGACACAATGGTTCCGAATGAATGGTGTTCTTGTTGCAGCCGGTGACCGTGCAATAATTAAAGAACGATTCGATACGATAAATAAATTCCTAATTGAATTGAAACACATCGATAAGGGGACTATCGATTCATTATTATATAATTATTATCGATAGTAATGTTTCGCCGCGATTTCGACGAACAGCAGTTACAAAAAAGATGTATTTACCGTCTTAACAAATTTAGAAGGTTGAAAATTATGTAACAGTATTTTTAGATTCTTCTAATATTCGTATCTTTTTCTCGTATCGGTTCATTTTTCTCATAAATGTATACTTTAAGAAACGGGTAATTAAAAAACTATAATATATAATAATTAAATAATATAATATTATATATATATATTAATATATAATAATATAATAATAATATAATATTATATATAATAATTAAAAAACTAAATATACAGAAAGTGTGTCGCAGAAATAATATTATAATTTTAGTTCAGATTATAACAACAAAATTCTCTATTAGAAAAATATCTATTATAATAATCCTACTTTATAATTTTGAAGCAACAACCTTCTTCGTTGCAAGAATATTCCTCTTTGTAATTTTGAAGCAACAACCTTTCACATTATAACGGGTATATTCCACTGCATAATTTTGGAGCAACAATCTTTCGTTCGTTAGGTATTCCTCGTTGCAACAATGTCTCGCTTCTTGCTTTCCGATCGAGATCTGACGAGCAATTATCTTTTTCTAAACTACTATTTTCATTTGACCAGAGTTTCTAGAAAATGTTGCTATCGATAAGCGTACCATAAAAAGTGCTATTATCTACGCGTCGCTTTCCTCGCGAAACAAAACGTCGTAAACTGTAGCTATTACCCACGCTACCAAACGAGCACGTCCGCATAAACTTCTAAAAGGAGCGGTTAAAATTTTCGGATCACCCGTTGTACATTCTCGTTATACGATCCAGAGCCGTAACACACCCACGCCGATTTGTTTGTGTTGCGGGGGGCGTTTCGGTGTATGAGTGCGGTTATATTGTGCGGCGAGCGCAACACTACGGCCACGGTCTATCCTCGGTCGTGAGCATAATGGAGCATTGTTAATATGTTAATGTCGACCGTTCCTGAGGGTTCCGACGGTTTACGTTTCTCCGTTCCGGCGAAGAGTCTTTACACGTTTCATTAGATGGCGAACCTTGAATTTCACTCGCCACGCGTTTACTTCCAAAATACGTTCTTCGTTTCGGCCGATCGATATATCCTTCCCCGCCACAAAAACGTGTTTTCATAAGAAACTTAGCTAGTACACTATCATGCAAATACGTGGAGGCGTATTTTAATTAGTGGTCCTTTCGATTTCCACTTGGAAACGTTCTCAAATTGAAAGAGCCGCGGCAACGAAGAGCAACGCTCCCTTTTCGGGCCGTTTAAATAAACCAGTAGAAAGTAATTAAGAAGATTAAGATTAAAAATCGAGTACCGTTTTAAACGTGCTCTATACCTTCTTCCCTGAATTTCTGTGAATACAGTTTAAATGTTGGGGCTGCCTCCCTTTTACAGCAGAATAAAATTAGAACGTCGAATAAAGAGAGCATCTAAAACGAAAGGACATTCTATTGTTAATCGTTACTCTAATGAATAATGTATTTAGAATATATTATAAAGTGAAATATTAGGTCTACCGGAAAGTTCTATCCGATAGTGTCACTTCAAGTTTCAATCCATATGCACATGTTGATTTCAGACATATACGACTATCTCTCTCTATCATTGCATTTACACTGTACTCTCCTAAATAAACTGAAACAAAGATGTCTCGTGTCATTATTAAGCGAGACGCGATCGTGAAAACATGGCTACCGATGACAATGCCAGACCACGTGCTGCTTTGGCGACTCGTCGGAAAATCGCAGAGCTAGGCTGGCAAATTCTGTCGCATCCACCATACTCCCCGGACCTAGCACCCTCCGATTGTCACTTGTTTCTCTCTTTGCACAACTTTTTACAGGAAAAAAAATTCAAAACCGAAGCTGATGTCAACCGAGCACTAGTTGAGCTCTTCGCCTCTAAAAATAAATCATTTTTTAAAAATGGCGTTTACGAGTTGCCGTCGCGCTGGCAAGAAGTCACAAGTAACGATGGAAAGTATATTCTACGATAAATATTATTAAACGTATGAAAATTAAATCACGGCTGGGTGCATTAAGCGCAATGACAAACAAATGCTGGGAGGAAGACGTAACACTGGTGCTTCGCGAACAGGCACACGCTGTATTAAATTGCTCGCCGAATGTATCCTCGATGGAGCAAGTATAGTTATTTTCTTGGAGCTCCGTCGAGTGTTCCCGTAAGCGATACTCTTGCTAGATCTCGCCGTCAAATATGTTCTTCGTCAGTGATAAGCTGCCTCTTGCCTTCGGGCTGGCAATTAAAAGATTCGGATCGAGTGTGTTAGCGGTTTCAGTTGCTGTGCAACACGCGAGTTAAATATTTTCAAGAAGATTTTAATCGTTGCTTTTTGTTCGTTCGCGTAGCAACTTCGTCCGAATGTTTATTATCAAACAATTATATCGGGGAACTTTATAAGAATTTAGGGAAACAATTTTCATCGTCGTTTAGGGATGCATCGATACACCCCTAATATTTAACAACCGCGAAATAATTTCTTCAATTTCTAAAAATTCTTTCTACAGTGGAAAATCGTGTCGCGAAGTATTTCATCGAAACGAATAATCGGCAATTGAAACGCGATCTTTTGTATTACTTCGAGCGCGATAAGTAGAAAGTGGTAATAAAATAAACAAAGAAAAAGATAACCGGCAGCCGTGTGTCGTCGGGCCACTCATCCTGTAACATGAAACGCCGGAGCGATTTTCAAATGTAAACTGTCGACGCCGGATCTCGGTATCGCTTACAACGCTCCTAATTGTTCCTCCGGAATGCTAAACACTTCTCCGAAAAGTCGTCGGTTAAGTTAACGAAGATTAATACCGTTCCTTTCGTTTCGTTTCGTTCCGTTTCGTTTCGCGAGAAGCACGAAGCAGGAGTGACCGCAGCGAAGCTCTTTTCGCGCGGGCCTGCAGCGCGAGCGTTTAAAAATAACGACCTTGACAGTGGTCGTTCCGCGGGGCACGCGAATTAAGAAGAACGCCGAGTCGATGGTGCTCCTTGGCGGGAGTCGCGGGTCGCGGGAGCAATTAACGTCGGATCGCGTGGGAGTAATTAAAATGTTTGAAACTACGGCACGCGGCTAGGTGACGGTATAACGACACGCGTACACGCGTGCGATCGCGCGTGTAGGGGCTTGCACGTGCAAACGCTATCTTCGCGGGAAATTCAGCGGTGCGAGAAGACCCGCGTACAGCTTGATTAACGCGGACGTTAATGAGCACGCCGCCGGGCTCGTTTGTCCGACGGGACGTCGGTATCGATTCGAATTCCGCGAAGAATGAAAGTATCGCGACGGGACCTAAGTGCTCCGGAATTTTGCGGTACCGAGAGTCGGAAGTTCGACGCCGCCGCCGCGAACTGAGTTCTATAGGTGCGGTTGAATTCTGCGCGAGGCTATTTCTCTGGACGGCAGAGTCCGATGCGTATTGTACAGAGTCTGATACCGTATATTCTGTCTGCATATACAGACATATTCCTCGAGCCATTCGAAGTAACTTCTTCCTTTACAAAAATGTTCTCCGAGGCACCGTTAACGAGTTATTAACGAAAAACAGTGACCAGTGAGAGGCGAGCTCGGCTGGCGCGAGGCGATCGAGCCAATGAGCGGAACTGGGCTTCGCGCGCTGGTTGGCTGGGCCGCCTCGCGTCAGCCGTACTCGATTCTTATTGGTCACTGTTTTTCGTTGATAACTCGTTAACGGTGCCTCGGAGAACATTTTTGTAAAGGAAGAAGTTGCTTC